TGTCAGAGATCAGGGTTGTAGGAGGAAATAGCCCCTGCTCAGTGTGGGCAAGGGAAGGTGTGATGCCCCTGGTCATGTGCACGCTGAGTGGGGTAACCAACCAGCCCAGTTTACCCAAGTCTGTGGAGTTTCTGGGGACCTGGGGCTTTTGATGCTAACCAGGAGAGTCCTGAGCAAGCCAGGACAGTTGGTCACCCCGTGCTGATTTGTAGATTGTATCCTAGAGAAAGGGCAGGTGTGGGGAGCTTGTTCCGGTTTCCTGAACTAGTGTGTCACCCAGTCAGGGCTGGAGAAACAAGTCCCTGGCCTGCTCCCTCTCTGGGCTCAGGGTATCTCTCTATTCACCGCCACAGGAGAGGGACTGGGCCCAGGCTGTGCAAAAGGCCCAGAGCTTTGGGCTGGCTGGGAGACCCATGGAGCCATCCTGGTCGGGGCGGCTGTCCTTGCTAAAGCAAGGAGGGAAAGAAGGTCTGTCAGGTCAGGGGTGGGTAGAAGGGGAAGCAGAGGCTGGGGCTGGGGGGAGAGGGCAACTACCCAGGGAGGGTGGGGACGGGGGAGAGGTACCCTGGAATAGCATGAAATAATGACAGGAGCACAGGGTTTGCATCAGGCAAGCTTGGTTCCAGGTGCCTCAGCGTCCCCAAAATGAGAAGAGGGTTCCCTGTCTGCCTGCCTCAGATACCTGTGATGAGGGATCCGAGAGACTGCCTGGGCAGTGGTGGGGCTAGTCGGTTAGTTGCAGAGGCCTCACTGGGGTCAACAACCTGCGGTGCTCTTGGCTGCGCAGGGAAGTGGATGCAGGGCGCCTTTGCTCCTGTCCTCACACCAGGACCTGGGGTAGCCTTCTTTGAGAGAACATGGCTCCTGGCCTGGCCCCAGGCCTGCCCTCTGGGGTCAGGCCAGGGAAGCTGTGGCTAGGCCCAGACCTCGATGGGGGCACCCCCACTTTGTCCTCATCCACAGGGTGGCGGCTCTTTTCCCACAGTGGCGGGGGCCTGGTCCGTGGCCAGGCAGTAGCTCTGACACAACTGAGCTGTGCGGCCACAGCAAATCACTTCTCTTTTCTGGGCCTGAGTTTCCTCATTGGTGAAATTGTGGGGTCAGAGTAGGTCTCTGGTTTTTAAATATTTATTTTAGTAGCGGAACCCCTTCTCCAATTGAGGTTCTAACTGCACTAAATAACAGAGATCACAGGGGGCGACTGAAACGGGGGCAGGCTGGAGCGCCGTGCGCCCCCTCGCTCTTCGCCCACGCCTGGGGACACAACGCTCTGGGGACACAGTTTGCGAGCCCCTCTTCACCGTGCCTGCTGTTTCTAACGCTTTGGATAAGGACAAGCATATTGTCCTTATCTTCCTTTCCAGGAAGTCCAGCACTTTCTGGTACCACCTCCCCAGTGTTGACATTTTCTAAATCTCTAACTGCTGACACTGAGGCTTCTCAGCCCTTGTTACACAGAGTTTTCAGTGGGGCCTTGTCCCTTCTCAGGGAAGTTACAAGACCCAAGCCGTCTGTGCAACAGCTACCCTCGTGGGGCACTTCTAGGCCTGTGAAGGACTTCTCGTCTCGCGTCCCCCAGCAGCCTGCAGGACAGGTTTGAGATCCCTATTTGGTGGATGAGGGATCTTGGGAGACTGGCTCAAGACCCCCTGCCTGTGGGTGTGGAGCTGGCCAGGAGCCCTGGTCTTTTCCTGGAGCCACAGTCTGGGGCACCTAGCCCCGGCCCAGGTTTTCCCTGGCTTATTTCTTGCTCCCGCAGGCACCAAAGATAGAAAGGGGAGGCAGGAATCGGTGGGGTGGGCAGGAAAGAGGGGAACTCTGCTCCTCCTGCTGGGGGTCTCCACTAACCGCGGAGGCAGGGGCACCCACTCCCCATCGCCTTCTGGCTTCAGTCAGGGTGGGGCAGGCCAGGGGCAGGGAGGGCGAGGGAGGCCGGTGGGAGGAGGGGAGACCCGCTCCTGGGAAGCCGGGGCTGCATAAACAGGTATTACAGGAGAAAGCTAGCACCAGGCAGCTGACCCCGGGGTCACCCAAGGGCTGCAGGAGACCTGTGCGCACTGACATCGGCAGCGCGCAGGAGGAACGTGCGGTCTTCTGTGGTCTTCTCTGGTTCTCATGACAACAGGCCTGAGGGCTTGGGAGGAGCAGAGGCCCTTTCCCCTCCAAGTGGCCCTCCCAGCTACTAGGCTGCAAACTGAGCCAGGTCAACAGTTCCTGAATCATGTTACAGCCGAAGCCGCACCGGCTCCAGTGCTAATAATATGGGCAGATGTAGGTCACGCAACTCGATCCTCTGGGCTCAACTCCCACCCCACTGCGTGAAGTCTGTGTGAGCAGCTGGTCCCTACGCTCAGGGTCCTGAAAGCAGCCCCATGGGCCTGGGATCATGGTGTGAGGCTGGGTCCAGGAGACCCCAGCGCCCTGGTTGGCCTGTTTGTACAAAGCTGGCCTGGGTTAGGCTAGCAGGCCAGGATGCGGCAGCCCCAACATCTATAAACTCAGTAGTTGACAGAGGTTGACATCCTTAATGACTGAACCAGTGAGGTCTGTGGGATGATGATAATAATTATAATAAAATTTTATAAATAATACAAATGAAAAGTGCTTCCTTACACAGCATGTCCTATTATAGCTGAGGCTAGAACTCTGATCTCCAGACTTTGTGCTCAGTGCTTCAGTGCCAAGAAGGGACCAGAGGGACACTAGGGACCTTAGACATCCAAAGAGAAGCAGCCACGGAAGCATGGACACAGTCGCTGCCTGTGTGTCACTTGCAGCGGTGGCAGCAGGGGTTGTCTGATGGAAGCAAAATTCGAGGTCCAGGGTGTTGTCCTCAGCATGAAGGGCCTCAAGCTGGCAGCTGCAGGTGGCCAAGCCTTCTAGAGGTGGCTCGAGGCCATGGCCAGGGCAGCACTGGGGCAACCAGGAACAGAACTGGGTCTGACTCCAGAAGTGGGTGGTGCCACCTGGCACAGGCGTGAGTGCTGGAGAGAGCGTCCTCTTTCCCTCAGGGGTGGTGACCTCTTCGGACTGGAGTCAGCAGTCCCCTCGATGACCACTGTTTGTGATTCTCATGTTGGTCCCTGGTACATCTGTCCTCACTCAGGGAGAGGAGACATGGGGCATTTTCAGCAGGACTCTGCTTCCCCCAGGAGGTGGGGAAAGGGAAGAGGGCCCACTCAGTGCTTGTCTCATAAGAGACTGGTTACCTCCCCCATCCAGCTGGATGCTGGTCCTCCCTAGACGTGCACACCTTGGATTGACAGCCCTGGGGCTGAACCCTCTAAGTTCCAGAAGAAGCATCTCTGGTGCAGTGTGCAGGCTGATGGCTGCAAAGCAGCCTCCAGGGCCACCCCATGCAAAGGGGTTGGTAAGGCTGAGAAAGTTGCAAAGGGACAGCCACACATGGCCATCCAGACAAGTGTCTTGGTGCCAAGGGAGCAGACAGACATATCCTGCCTTTCCAGAGGGGGACGCCTTCCTCCGAGAACTGCAGGAATACCTCCAGAATTACGATGGAAGAGGGCCTTGAAGGGCTGGGCCAGGCCTCCCTGAGGAGGTGGCAGGAGGATGGGCCTGAAGAGTGAGAGGAGGAAGCTGGCATCAGGCGGTGGCGTGGTGGTGGGACAGGAGGAGCAGCAGGAAAGCCTGCAGGCCAAAGAGCCTGCGGGAGAATGGACGAAGCTGCCTAGTGGACCACATGGAGCTAGGAAGAGGACCTTACCAGGGGTGACATTGTCAGGGGTGCATTTGGGGCGACTCTCTGTCAGAGTGAGGGAAGGAGCCCTCGCTGCATCCCTCTGGCCCCCACCACCCCCACCTGCAAAGAGAGACCCCTGCATCCTGCACTGCTCAGGCATCTAGCTCTTGGGCCTCCTCATTTGTGTACATCAGAATAATGAGAACAATCCAGGTAAGGTAGTGGGGATGCTAATCAGAGTCCCTGAAGGCCCTGAGCCCAACCTCTTGCCCTTACCAGCACCAGCTCCACTGAGGAACTGCTCTCTTCCTCCCCAAGGAGAAGCCCAGCCAGTCGGAGCTACACTACACGAGCCAAGAGCTCTGAGCTACTAAGGCAGCCCTGCTCCCCTGGGGACTTTGTTTAGACCAACTTGGTGGAGGGGAGGGTGGGGGTGGACCGGGTGTGGCAGTCAGACCCTTCCCTCCTTTCCCTCCCCAAGCAAAGCCCCAACTCCTGGGCTCTGGGAGGGCTGCTTGGCTGCGGGGTACTAGAGAATGCCACCCCTCGTGCCTCTTGTCCTGCCTGGGTCCTGGACCTTTATTTCCTGCCCAACCGGTTGTGGAAGTGACAGGAGGCCCTGTCCCTGTCCCTGGGGAACATCCCTTTATGGGGGGAGAGTGACAGCTCTGACTGCCCCCTTTCCTCCTCCCATACGGCTGCTCTCTTAGGCTCTGAGTTGCTTGCTGAAGGAATAACTAACTGAGTGCACAGGGCGCAGCCAGCATTGGAGAAGCTCAGCGTCTCTTTTTCATTTGTTCCCTGTGAAGATCTTCTCTGTCCAAGGCCACTGGGTGTGACTGGCATGATGACAATTACAGATTGGGGACCCAGCCTCCGCATTATTCCCTGAATGTGGTCAAGACTGCTTCTCCCCCTCCAGGTCCCCCGCTCACACTGTCCCCTCTGGCTCTCCTTTGCAAATGCCAGTTCCTTTATCGAGAGTCCCCAGCCAGGGCCCTCTCACCTGCCACACTCCCAGGGTTTCTACTGCATCTTCTGCCCACTGGGATCTGTCCCTCTTAGCTCTCGCCCTGTAGTTCCTCAAGGGCAGTCCATGTCTCAGTCACCTGTGTGGTTGCACTGCCTGGAATGGGACTTGACACACAATCAGAGCTCAGTTAATCTTTGTCAACTGGACAAATAACAAACCCTTGAATAGAGCTTACTGTATGCCCCAGACACTGTTTTAAGTTCTTTATATTCCACCCTAATAGGTTCTTTAGCTCGGCTACAAATTAAACTGATACATAAATAAATGAACAGGAGAAAAACTATATTTAATTGCATACATAGGCACGGAAGTCCCACAAAATGTGACTCCAAGAGGGGTCAGATGATTGAAGTTTATACAGCACCCTGAGCTACAGAAAATAGGGGCTTGGGGCTTCTGGGTGGGGGTGGCGACACAAGTTCTAGAAGGGTGAGGGGAGGAATTGTAGAGTGAGTAAAGCTTCTTTAGGTCTATAGGGGAAGTTCAGAGAGAGCCTCCTTGCATTTGCTGTTCCTCAGGTGTTCTCAGTTTGAAGTAATCAGCATACCAAAGTGGCATATTTTGGGGTGGCATTTCCTGAACTCCTTCAGTGACATGCCCAAGGTCACCCAGCCAGTACATGGGTGAGCCAGAATCCAGCAAGGCAGCTGGGTTTGGGTCCACACTGACACCCAGCACCAATCTGCTATGCTGCCTCCTGCGTATAATGAATAATACCTACTCAGGGATGTTGCCCTGTATGACATTGTCCTGTAGAGCAGGGTGGACATCTTTGTCATTGCCAGGAGAGACACCTGCTTACCTGGGCAGCCCAGCCCAGCCCAAGCCACTCAGATTATGTCCGATTTTCCTTTGTATGGCCTTTTCACCTTTCCCCACCATGCTGGACTCAGGGTTCCCGCCCACTTTACTTGGCATGAATGGGTTTCATCTCCTTAAGTGGAGTAAATTTGGATTCAGCAAAAGTTTGCAGAATGATCACTTTGTTACATAGGCCCTAAAGACATGCACAGCTTCTTGGAGACCCTTGGGCCTCCCCCATGCCTCAGTTTCCTGCTCTGGGAAACGGGATGACTTGCTCGCGTCACACGGGGTGACGTCTGGCAGGGATTTTGAGTCGCTCCAGAACCGGCACTGTGTGGACAGTCTATTTATCTGAGTCTTGGCACTGCTGTGTGCCGGCCCCAGACAGCCAGGTGACTTTGTCCTGTCGACTCAGGGTGGGGATGAGGTTATAGCTGGGCCGGGATGTGTGTTCCTTGCCCCTTGGAACAGTTCCTTTTCTAGAGCTGGCAGCAGCATGGAGCAAGGAGCTAGGCTAGCAGATCCCAGGAACTCGGATGGACTAGTGGTTCATTCAGCCACCTGACAGTGGGTAGGGGATACTTGTCAAAGCCTCATCTGCTGCAGTCACAGAGCCTGCCCCACCCCTTCTGGCTTACCTAGCTGCACAGTGAGGACGGGGGATGGAGTAGGTGAGTGGTGGGAGGGGGGAGGGGCACCTGGCAACGCTTCTGCCAATTGCAGCTAACAAGTGGCAACTCACAGACCAGGGCGGGCTGCAGTGACCATGGACAGGGCAGCCAATGAGCTCCCGGGCTGCGGTGGCACCACCGGGTAGCCTGCCTGTGTTTGGCTGGCGTGGCAGCAGGAGGGGCCTCAGCTGGCCAGTCAGACTGCTGGACCCTGTCTCTGGGAGGCCCGGGCAGATCTGCTGCTCCATTCACAGGGATCCCAGCTCAGGCTGCCACCTTTTTAACTTTTCAGACCTCCTGGGGAGGAGGGCGGCCCGTGGGGGAGGCTGGCTGGGAACTGTATCCAGAGATGGAAAGAAACTCCGGGAACTTTTCCCATGCTCTGGATTCGGAATGGGCTTGTGGGCTCAAGCTCAAGGCTGGGGAGAGGGGAGACTGGAAGTCTGCTTTGTTCAGGCATCCGGCACGCCAAAGGGGGTGGAGGGAGGGAACAGGAATAGGGGAAAGCAGGGCCCAGGTGCCCACCCAGGACTGGCATCAGGGACCCCAGGGACCTGGCCTACTGAGGTCCTGCACCCCCACCACCACTCAAGCCCCTTACCCTTTGTCTGGATGGAGTCAGTCCTGGAACAGCACTTTGGACTTAAGTGGCTGTCAGCTAGGGCCAAGGGAGAGAGGGAAGTTCAGGCTCGAGACCAAGAATTCCTTGTGGCATGGGCTGGACAGTGTCAGTACCAATGGGTGCTTGTACCCCTCCCAGCCCCCCTGCTCAATGCAGACCCACCACAGCCAATCACATAATAAACATATATTTATAGATGTACAATTTCGGAATTCTAATTCAAGAAATACAGCTTCTCAGGGGATCCTTTAGGATCTATGTTCTTATTGCACATGGCTCAGCCCATCTAGGGACATCTACCAAGACCAGACAGTCGAGGTGGTGGGGGCAGAGCACCAGGGCCACGGCAGGTGGGGCACTCTGGCCCACATCCAATTCTTGTGATCTCTCTGGGCGGGGGTGGCCACTTCATTGCAGGGTAGGATCTTGTTTAAAAACCAGATTTGACATTTCCTTACCAAACTTCCTTTCCCAGCAAGAATCCTATTTGTTGGGAGACTTAAAAAAAAAAAAGAGCCAAGAGAAACTCTGGGAGGACAGTTGTCACCTCCTGGCTGGCAGCTTGGGGAAGTAAGGCTTTGGAAGATGGCAGGCTCAACGACACCCCCACCCCCACAGGAAAATTAGGGAAGAATGGTAATTCCAAAAGGCCCAATATAAACTGTGGTAACAAACAAAACCTCCCTCCTTCCCCTGGCAGCAACTGCTGTTTTGAGAAAAATCCTCATTTGAAGGTGAGAGTAAGAAAACCATTCTGGTTCAGGTGTGTCCTTTGTCCAAAGTGCAAGAGGAACCTGGTGGAGTCACATCGATGGAGGGTGAAGGCAGAGGTGCCTGAGGCCCTGACTTCTCTCTTCAGGAGTCGGGCTGCTGCCCTGGGGTCCTGGGCACCACCTGGCTGTCTCTTGGAGGAAGAGCCTTCTGGAATTCTTGGTGCACAACTTAGGAAAAAACAGTGGCAACGATGGAGCTGTGCCCTGTGGCACGCATAAGGCAAAACCCACTTAGGGACTTTGGGGTGGGAAAGTGGTTAGGTAGAAACTGGCCCCTCTCCAAGTCCTGCTGTTCTGTGGGCAGGAAGCTGGAGGGTTCCTGGGCATTGGGACAAAGAACCCACCTGAGCTGGCCAGAGGGGAGGGACAGCTTGAGGTGGACGGTCTCATCCCAGCAGGTCCTGTCTGGGGCCTCTACTGTGACTCAATACTGACCGGGTACTTGCCCCTATGGGCACCTTCCTTCCCACACAGCTTTCTCTTCTCCAGCTGCGGTCTCATCCCAGCAGGTCCTGTCTGGGGCCTCTACTGTGGCTCAACACTGACCGGGTACTTGCCCCTATGGGCACCTTCCTTCCCACACAGCTTTCTCTTCTCCAGCTTAACCATAAGCCTGGTGACCTTCGGAAGTTTTCTTTGGATTTTTACTATCATGATTACTGCTGCCATCCAAAACAGGCTGGGGTGGGTGGGGGACATTAACAGCACGTGCCCCAACTTTCCTTATGCCGTCAGCTATGGCGAACATCTAGCTTTTGAAGGACCAGGCTGCCTTCCCCAAACAGGCCTCATTTTCTAAAACATGAAAGAAATCAGCTAAACAACTTAACCAAATCCCTGCATAGGTTAAAAAGTACACTATATATATATATATCTTTATATGTCTATTTACATATAAATAGATATATATATACATATACATGCATCTATAAATTACATTCTGTGGAGAGTTCTCTTTCCTCCTCCTCTCTATCCTTGACCAGTGCCTCTGACTGGCTCCTCCTGAGGTGCCGGTGGTGGCTCCTGGGACGGGCAGGAAAGGCAGTCGGGCACCCCTCCCCCAGCCCTCCTCACAGACATTTGTTGCAAGTTTTACATTCTACTTTCGTTGCCATGGTTTCCGTATCCTAGGAGAGAGCCGATGCAGAGCCTCTGCCAGCCCCAGGATGGGGAGGGAGAGAAACAGCCCTGTGGCAGGTTGTCTGTCTGTCCTGAGAGCTTTCTGCATATACTGGGTGAGAGAGAGGGCAGTTGTGCGGCATTTGACCTCCAATTCCATTTTAATTTTTTTTCTTTGTGTGTCTTTCCTTAAATATACAGTCCATCACCTTGGCTCAGTGCATGTCACCAAAAATTCTCCAGGGATTTCATGGTCTGGGGAGGAGAATGATAGCAGTTAGCTTGGCAGTCATGCGGCAAGGCGCCCGCAGCTCTGCACACACAAACGCAGATCTCCTGCCCAGTGCTGCTTGGCCCAGCTCAAGCCCTGCCCACCCCCTCTTGTGGTCTGCTGCACTGCCCGGAGGCCCTAGCAAGTGGCCTCAAAGCAGAGAGCCTGCAGCTGGATCCATGCCAAGGGGACACAGGCAAAGGAGGAGGTGGCATGCATCACCCACACTCCTCTGGGCTTGGTCCAAGCTGCCCCCCCTGGCAAACTCTGAGAACAGAGCCCACTACCCCCATGCAGGGGTGAAAGAGGCAGGAGCCTGCTACCAGCAACATTCCACCCCCTCCTCCACCCCCATTCTGTGCTGAGCGGCTGCTTTTGACCCTGAACTCACGACCTTCTGTTCCCTTCCTCAGACCACAGGCGAGATGCCTGGGTGGGGCCGGATGCCTGTGGCTTCCAGGCTGCCAGGTGTGGTAGCACTGGAGAGAGTGCCTCAGACCCCACCAGAGGGGGAATGCTGAGGGTACACAGGCCTCTCCTGCTCCAAGCCTGTCAGCTCCTGCCTGCAGTTGGGCTGCCCATTCATCTTGTTCAATTTCCTCCTGCCTGGAAGGACAGAGGGCTCTTGGCCCACCCACTCCCACATGGTTCTTCCTGGTATCAGGTGGGCAGTATGTGGGCGGGCTAACTTGGGCCTAGTAATATTTGGTGGCTTAACTACCGGAGTACAGAAAATAGTCTGCTGTGCTTGGGAAAGGGCTGTGGTGACTGAACAGCTGGAGTGGACCAAAGAGCCATGAGTGACCCTCAGCAACAGCTTTGGGATCCCACTGTGTCTGGCTTTTGGGCACCCCACAGCCCCAGAGTTAGAGAGTAGGGTGGAGTAGTGGGGACTAGAGGGCTGAAACAGACCACGGTTTCTAAGTAGATCCCAGAGCTGCCCCATCTCTGGAGGCTGGAGGTCAGGCTGGCTGGGGACAAGAGTCTTTGTCACAATCACCAGGCTTCCTCCCTCTCTCCCTCCCTCCCTTCTCTGCCTCATGTCCAGTGCCAAAGCTGCCAGAAGTTGCAAGGCAGAGGCAGCCCTGGCTCATACTTAGACCTCGGTGGTGTGGCTGGCCCAGGGCTATCCATGCAGGGAGGCCTGCACCTCTGACAGCCGGTTACAGCTTGGAGTGCCCATCTTCTGTGCTTTGTGGTACATATCTGTGTCACCGAAGTAGCGGGCCCGATACAACAAGCCTTCCTCTGCAAAGCAATGGGACAGGGTTATGGTACACCCAGTACCTCTCAAAGCCTGCAAGGAAGCCTGCCTGGGCCTGTGGGGGGAGAAAGGCTGTTGTAGGCCCGGGAGCTTGGGCAGAGCTGGCCTTCCATTAGGGAAAACCCTGTAGGAGCAAAGACCAAGGTCCCAACTTGGGATAGGGATAATAGAGGCCCCTTTCTATAGAACATGGGTGAGGCCAGCCAAGGTGTCATGCTGGTCAGACCTCCCCAGGGTCCCACAGTTAGATCTGGACACATGCATGATCAGCAGGTGGCTAGGAGATCTGCTCCAATTCGTCTCTGCACCCCTGACAGCCACAATGACAGGCTAATTGCAGTGATTTACAGGAAGCTGGAGGAAATCACCAGGTGTCCCTGGGCTCCCAGCCCCAGGGAAACACAGGACCAGCATCCAGCTCTTGGCTAGGAGGTGCTGGCACAGGGCAATGCCAGGTGCTGGGCTCACAGAGCACTGGGTGAGCAGGGCTTTCTCCTCCCCCTGTTCTCAAGCCTTGTCCCGCCCCTGCCCCCCTACACACGCGCACGCACGCGCACGCACACACACACACACACACACACACACACGCACGCACATGCACACACACACACTCACTCTGCTGCTTTTCCTTCCAGCAGTTGTTTCGGAGGTTGGCAATATAATCATCTTCCACATTTCGCTCAACTGTTTTGAGGGTGGAGCCTGTGTATTCTTCAGAGAAGGTGTCTGCCACGTAGTAGGCAACATTCAGGTGGTCAGTGACTCGCCTGTGGATGTGACCCACCGACCTGGCCAGAAATATATGAGGCACAAAGTGGGCATGGGTCCTCAGGCCCAGGGCAGCTCTAGGTGTGACGAGGCCCCATGACAGGAGGTGCCACACAAACCTCAGGAGTAGTTCGTTCCCTCCCAGACTAGAGCAGGAACTTGTGCACTACTTCAGAATGAGGGTCTGAAGAAAAGGCAGTGTCCCTCCTGCACGAGCGGCCCAGACTGCGGGATAACGGCAAGCCCTTCCTGTAGGTTCTCTGCTTACCACAGCGTTGACCCGGGGGCCTTTAGGGAGAAGCCCCTTTCTTTTTTTTTTTTTTTTTTTAAAGATGACCGGTAAGGGGATCTCAACCCTTGGCTTGGTGTTGTCAGCACCACGCTCAGCCAGCGAGCAAACCGGCCATCCCTATATAGGATCCGAACCCGTGGCCTTGGTGTTATCAGCACCGCACTCTACCGAGTGAGCCACGGGCCGGCCCGGGAGAAGCCCCTTTCTGAGGAGAGGTCCTCGTCTGGGAAGCTGAGAACCTGGAAGGGAGTCTGGGCTCTACCTCCTGTGCCTCCATTTCCCCATTCATCCCCTAAGCCAATCATTGCTGAGGGCTGGTTTGCCTATCCAGGAGCTCCCAGTCTAGAGTTAAGAGGCTTAGGAACACAATGACAGGAAGGATTCCAAGGAGCTTATATCCTTAGAGCTCCAGTCACAGGCTCTGAAGGCTGTGGGAAGAGCCTCGACCCTAGACAGGAGTCAATGCTCTGGGAAGAACAGCCCCCACCCCCCCAGCCCCACTCCCATCTCCCAACTGCAGGAAAAGGACGGGCATCTGGCCACAGAGAGCATGAGCCATCTCTGCCCCCTGCTGGTTGAGAGGGTCCTGACAAGCTCCCAGCTGGAGGCGGGTGGCTTGGTGGGAGCAGAGGGTTTGACCAATAGAAGCTGAGCACCCACTATGTATCAGGTACCTTGCCAAGTGCTGCAAATAAATGCGGGAAGCCGTCACCTCAAAGGGTCAAATAACTTGCCCGAGTTCACTACTGGCAGTTGAGACCAAGTATTCATTTAACAAATATTGCTGAGTATTTCTAATGAACCAGACGTTTTATATGTATTACTCATTCATTTTCACAAGCAGGTGGATGAATTATTCCCATTTTATAGATGAGGAAACCAAGGCTATATAACTTGTCTAAGGTTACACAGCTTCTCCGTGGAGAAGCTGGGATTGAAAGATGGCCTTGCTCTGTCTGATTCTAGAGCTCTGATTCTTCCCATGGTCTTTGGGACACCAACCAGAATTTAAGAGTACAGGTTCTTATTTCAAAGTCAGTAGATAATATGGTGGTGGGGAGGGATTCATGAAGCCTCTGAAATCATATGTAAAATCGTGTGTGTGTGCATTGTTCTAGGGAAAGGGTCTGTAGCTTTCATTGCATTTTCTTAGGGGACCATGATCCTAAAAAGATTAAGAACCTCAGCTCAACAGAGAAGTATATATTCTTGATTCTAAGGCAGCTTTCTTCATTATGATTGAGAACCTGCTAGCTCAGGATGGGAGGGAAGTCCATGATGAGGGCTGAGAGTCCAAAACCCCTCATCTGCCCACCGCCCAGCCTCACCCCTGGCTGCAAGTACTCACGGTCTTGGGCTCAGACTGTAGGGTGGACTGGAGACCATGAGCTGGCTGAGAGCTGACACGAGGATCAGGATGAGGATGGGCATCAGTTGGACAAATACCCCTAGCCCCCCCTGGAGGGAAGAGCCAATGGTCACCAGCTGGACCTGGGTGGGGTACAGCATCAGCCACCAGCTCTCCTAACACAATGGAATTGGGTGGCCGTACCACCACAGTCTCCCCTTCCCATCCAGTGGCCCCCAAAATACAGAAGCTCCTCCACCTGCCAGCTTTCCCAGATAAAAACAAAGCAGCAAGTAAGTAGTGTTGAACACAGGAGGGAGTGAGGTATATGCATTTGCTTGTGAGCAAATACCAAAAAATCACCGAAGTGGCTGTCTCTGGGCAAACGGAAGGCAGGACTGAAAGGAGACTTTCGCTATATACACCTTTTTGAACTGTGAACCATACATATATATTACCAATTAAAATTAGAAAAAAATCAATAAATTTATTCACTGTGTGGTAATCTGTGATTTTAAAAACTCTTCTGTATGTTAAATACAAACTAAGTTTTTAAAAAGTGAACAAATAAACATTGCCAAAGCAAAAGGCAACCCCTTTGCCTGCCAGAATTTTAAATGCTCTGTTACTGTCCACGATATTTTAATCTTAGCCAGCTAACTGTTCAAACATACAAAATATGTTTGAAGTACTGCCTAGTTATAGTTTTTCTATAGTTTTTAAGAGTCCTGAAAGCAAGAAGAGCCAGCACCTATGTGGTCACCCTAGACAGGTCTCTCACGAAGTCTAAGTTTCCATCACTTGGAAAATGCTACTTTGGCCTTAGGAATGAAGGGACCACACAAAAGTCATTCGCACTGGAGCTGTCTGTGGGCGGAGAAGTTTCTGCATTACATTCCCCAACAGAGGCCAGCAAAGCCCCACTGCTGTGGGCAACGTGGAATGTGTCTCCCTCTTGTGTCGCTTAGCAGAATGGCAAGGGGGAGCCCAGACAGCTCCTCAGCTGAGAGTTGTAGGGGCCCCACTGGTCCCAGAATGGACAGCGATGGATGTTAAGTCCTTCCTCCAGGCCCCGTTCCCGGGTGCCCCCGCCCTGCTCTCCCTGGTGCCTTCCTCACTCACGTCACCCTGGTTCTCCCTGCGGTCCTGCCTTTGCTGGTAGGTGTAGCGCATGCGGCCATTGCTGTAGACATGGACGTTACCTGGGGGTCAGAGGGACTGAGTCAGGAGCTGGGGTTGCGGGAAAAGGGAGAGGCTGGCATGCAGTCCCCGCCACCCCCCCCAGGGAAACCTAACCGTGGGAAGGGCGTGGACTTACTAGAAGGAAAGCCACCACCAAAGAACATGTTGAAGAGGTCTTCAGGGGAGATGTCAGCCTCAAAGCCGCGGTGGAAGTCCCCATGCCCGTGGCCATGCCGGGCTGCCTGGCTCTTGTCGTCACCAAACTGGTCATACTGCTTCCTTTTCTCTGGGTTGCTAAGTACCGCATATGCTGTGCCAATGGCTGGAAAGGAGGTGGAAGGGTGAGGGTAGAGGCTCCTACGGCAGCCAAGTGCTCACTTTTTGGGGGCACTCAAGTGGTGCTTTAGGAAGCCAGAGTCCTTGGGGTCAGTGGAAGTTTGGCTGTTGGGAAAGTGTGGGGTGAGGGCCGTGCAGGAAGACCCTGAGCTATGAATAGGGCAGCCTGTGCTGGGCGGAGGGTTACACTCAGGTTCCTCGTTCTCCTCCTCATGATGATGGCTGAGTTTTTCCATGTGCCAGGTCCTTTCCGGGGCATTTTATTTACTCTGAACAGAAACCCTATCTCCATTTTACCAATAAGAAAAGTGGGGCTCAGAGAAACGCCTAAGCTTGCCTCACACTGATGTTGTAGAGCCAGGATGATGATGGCTGAGTTTTTCCATGTGCCAGGTCCTTTCCGGGGCATTTTATTTACTCTGAACAGAAACCCTATCTCCATTTTACCAATGAGAAAAGTGGGGCTCAGAGAAACGCCTAAGCTTGCCTCACACTGATGTTGTAGAGCCAGGAATCAAACCCAGGTGTGTCTTGCTTCAAGTTTTCTCTCTGACTTTACGAAAATCACCAAAAATCCCTTTCTTATTCCTCTTTCTTGAGGTGCCCAATGGGATGGGTGGGGTATCCCTTTCTGGAGGTTATATTATCTTGAAGTCATGGTATGACACAGAGGGTAAACGGACCCATTACGTCCTTGCAGTAAACTGGAAAGCAGCAGGGACTGTGGGGAAGGGCCAAATCCCCGAGTTCTAGCTAAGACTCCTCTGTTGCTGGTGATGTGGCCGGGCTGAATCTCCTCCTCCCTGGGGTCCAGGCCTGGCTGCTGTTTCCATCCTGCTCCTGGGGCCTCCCTGCCAGAGCTCCCTGGGCAGGGAGCCTGTGCCCTGAAGGACCCCAGCTCAGTTTCTTGCACCTTCTCCAGCTGCCCACTTTCTCAGAGGAGTGGGTCAAAGCTGCATCTGCTTCACAAACTGCAACCCCTGGGAATCAGGGGGGCAGAATCCCCCTCATCCTCTTATTCTGACAAGGCTCTAAGGCCAGATCTGGCCTCTTAGTACCTGCTGAGCAGGCTGCGGGCAGAGGTCAGGTCTGGAGAAACATCGACCATGGCCATCTTGCCCGCCCCCTCCCACTCTCCTCTCCCTCTGGGGCAGGCCCCTTGCGCAGCACACCAGGGGTTGGGGCTGCTCTGCCACAGGCTCCCCACCTGGCTACGGTCATGGCCCCATTCTGCATGACACCCACCCAGGCCCAGTAGGGCTAGTCACCATGCTATTTCCCAGAGGGAGGGGGACAAGATGGGAATGAGAGAAGGAAGAAGTATCTCAGGAGTGAGAAACTGCAGTGCGCAGCAACACGCACACCTGACAGGCTAAGCAAATAAAGGGCAGTTTATAATTTCAGCCAGAAATGAAGCACCCATCCCAGAACCAATGGGCCCTGAGGCCAAAGAGACTGTCACGTCCCCCACTGCAGGCCCTGGGGGGATGGACTTATGGAGGGTGCTAGCTGAGGCTGCTGGTCCTAAGGGGGCCACCAGGCCAGAGGCTGCTGGCCTGGGGCTGCCTGGCTCTTGGCACAGGGAAACTGTTACCTAGATGGGCGGCTGCACGATGCCAAGACAGGGAAGTGCAGCAGCCCCTCAATCACAGCGCCACCTTGGAGAAGCTGCTGGAACCTCCTCGCCTTAGCCCCTCTCCTGTAATCCCCGGGAATGAGTGGGAAGAGGAGGCAGGAGTGGTGCTATCTGAGCTCTGACAGAATTTCATGGCTCAAGGTGGCTACTAGGCCCTTCCTCCCAAGAAGCAGCTCCTGAGCCTGAGGATCTTGAGCCCAAGACCACTGCCTTCTGCCCCCCCACTTTCCCAAAGTTGTTTTAGCCCCTAATTCCCTCCCAAGGACAGAAGATAAAAATACCCAAACGCCAGGAAACCAGGGCTGGCCTACCTTTGAAAGCTTCAGTGGCGCCAGGTGCATGGTTCTTGTCTGGGTGGAATTTGAGGGCCAATTTGCGGTAAGCCCTCTTCAGGTCCTCATCTGAGGCCCCTCTGCTCACCCCCAGGATCTCGTAGTAATCTTTACATTGCTTGACCCTGATGGAGGGAGAAGAGCATGCCAGGGGATGCTCTACCCGGGCTCAGAGCTGTGCGGGGAGGTGGGTGAGGAGCAGCCACACAGCTAAGCAGGCTGCAAGGGGACCAGCAGGGTATGGCTAACAGCTCCTCTGGGTAAGTTGTTTGACCTTGGGGACCAGGAAGCCACACTGTGCCCCCACCTGTGACAGGGAGCTGGGCAGGTCCCACTGGAAACACCAAGGATACATTTAGGATGTCAGAGAGGGCAGCTGCTGCTTTTTGCCAGGCCAGTATCCATTCCCCTTCTAACAGCTCCCTTGCTGCAGACGACCCCAGAAGGACTGTTGTTGCCTATCACCCAAGGGCAGGTATGTCCCAAGCTAAGTCAACTGCACTCCTGGCAATCTGAGTCTTAACCAAGCGGGTAACACAAAGGCCAGAAAATGGTGTCTGTTCATCCTGATCACAGAGCCCTGAAGAGACCCTGATTCTCTTCCATCAATCCTTACTCTCTAGGTCCCTGGAGACCTCCCAATTCTTGGCCTTTTCTGATGTATGAGGTTTTCCCTCATACATCAGTTTCTATTGTCTACAAGAGATGGGCTTGTCTGGTCAAAATGATGCCTCGTCAGAGAAATGTAAATCTGGCCTGTGCTTTCATGGCAAATTACAGTCATGCTTGGTCACACACAGGCTGACCCCCAGTCCTGAAGCCTGCCAGGAGGTGTGAGCATGACCTCAGAGGGATTCCCAAGGCTGGCTGATGGGCAGGCCTGGGCAGAAGTGAGAGCTAGGCAAGTCTAGTACTCAGAAGCCTCGGCTGGATGGCCTCAAGACTGGTAGTGAGCTGCTCCATGCACAGCCCGCCCACAGCCCTGAAGGGACAACTCTACCCCCTGTCTCCACTCTCCCCCACAGGCTCTGGTCTGAAAGGGCTTTTGTTGAGGGTGGTGGTGTGGGTTGGGGGAGAATTTGGACAGGGAGACTAGGCTCCATCTCTGCCTAACAGGAGCTGTGCAGAGAGGCTGGGGACCTCAAGTGGCAGAGGCAACCAGTGGTGTGGGCATTTCCAACCTGTGCTGTGGCTTGGTTTGGTGGGAGTGGACAGTGGAGCCCTGGTTCCCACACTGAATTACAGGCCTTGTAGGAAAGGACTGCTCCTGGTGAGCCTGAGCACTTGTACCTCCTCCATCCTCCAAGACCCTCCCAGACCCCAGGCAGGTGTGAACCGGAGGATGCACTGCAGGCCGCCTTCTGCAGACTTCCCCAGTACCCCCAGGCTTTGCCCCTGCCCACCCGGCCCACCCTCTACCTTTTCACGGCTGCTACTTGTTCTGCAGTGTAGCCTTTGGTGCTCTCTCCTCCTCCAGCTTCACCGTTGGCCGAGGGGGCATCAGTCCCACCTGCTTTCCTATGGGTGGCATGGCTTGCATCTGAGGGTTGGGGTTGGTCACCGGCAGTCTGTGGTTTCTGGTTGAGGGACTCGATCAGGGCTGTGCAAGGCAAGGAAACCATTGAGGCTCTTGCTCCAGCAAGGCTGTGTACCTTGGCCAAGGGACTGTCTGGCCCTGGAAGAGGCCAAGGCCCCTGCATCCCACCCGCTTCCCCTCCCAACAAAGCCATAAGCTCCTTCCCTGACTTCCCTGTGGGTGTTAGTGGGATACAGGCCTGCTCTCTTAGGAGACACAGTCCTCAGGAGTAGGCAGGGTACTGGTCTTGTAAATTCACATAATTCATGAATAAATCTATAGTAATTACCTTATTTTGCAGATATATTTATATATAATCTCTTTCCTTATTAATGTAGGCAGAGTTTTGATATTCTGATAGTCTTTTCAAAAAGCACAGTTGGATTTTATTAATAAACCCTACAGTGGGCCGGCCCGGTGGCGCACTGCTACAGTGCACCGCTTGAGAGCGCAGTGGCGCTCCCGCCGAGGGTTCGGATCCCACATACAGACCGGTTCCCGCTCACTGGCTGAGTGAGGTGTGGGCGCAACACTGAGGGTTGCGATCCCGTTGC